TATCTTAATTTAAACGTGATGTTGAAAAGGTGTTCTCAAAAATAAAATAACATCATATACTATGAATTAACAAAATTCCAATAGTGCTAAAAGGTCAGCTTTAACTAAAAGAAAAACCAATAAATAAGGCCAGGCCAATTAAATTCTGTTTTACATTACCCCTACCTCCTGGGGGTTTATTGTGTTATATATACGGATTTTTTTTTTTTTTTTTACTAGGAGAGGGGGAGAGATTCTGGGGGGTAATGTAAACACAGAATTTAACTGGTCTGGCCTAAATAGAATAAAACCATAAATAAAAACTGCTTATGTCGTCCTACGGCTTTTATGCCGAGAAAGTTAAAGAAAAAATAAAATAGAAATAAAAAATGAAACATAAAAAATAAAAATAAAAATACAAAAATAAAAAATAAAAATAAAAATATAAAATAAAAAATAAAAAATAAAATTAAAAATAAAAATGAAAATGAAACTATAGAACTTACAGAAAAAAACTTTGTTACGCTGATTCATAGTATAATTTGTAATCAAATTGTGTTGTATTTTAGTATACCATAGCTAATTAAAAAATCAGTGTTTTATGAGTTAGATCTAGTAAATTCAAATACATGCAATTCAATTAAATTTAAACAGGTTAAAGTCGTTGGCAATTGTATCAGTATCTCCCTGAAAATAATATCTTACTACGTAAATTACCCTGTGCAACCGACTAAATCAGCGAATTCGTGAATAGTACCCGGTACTATTAAATTTTAAAAATGAAGTTTTTTATTAAGACCCCAGGTACTGCATACAATGGCCAACGGTAATGTTACTATGCATTACCTAGTATAGTTCAAAAAAAAATAAATTTAATCAAACTTTAATAACATATAATTTAATAATTGGGTTCAAATGATTTTAATATCGGTAAAATCATTTTAATAAAACAATGTCCCTATACCATTTCGCCGACTGACAGCTTAGTTTACCGACAATTAATTCGTCAACAATTCATTTCACCGACAAGTGCATTTCACCAATATTTGATTTCACCGACAGTCATTTCACCTACAAGTTGTTTTATATATTATGGTGCGAGCACACTAAAGACTAGGGATGGGAAAATCGAGGATTTTTTAAATCTACTGCGCAGGTCTGCATTATGGTAATTTACTGATAATGGGTCCTCAAGCATTCCAGTGTCCATCCCTACTAAAGACATCCAAAATCACTATTTCTCGACGAATAAGTGCAAAGTTATAAAAGATACGTAGCTTGATAGTTGCAGTATAGATGTACAAAGTTACGTATCTTTTTTTACAAATTTGTGCTTATTCATTGAGGAGTACATCTAGAAATTTCAAGTGCACTGCCACACTAATGATCGGCGGATTATGCACATACTTAAGGTTAATTGTGTTATGCACATCTGAAATAGATAATACTCATGAAAGGTGCTCGCACCATACACTAATCTTTAATTTTAACCTGATCCTAACGACAATTACCAGAATTACCTTGTCTGTGAAATGATTGTCGGTAAAATAAATTGTCGGTGAAATAAACTTGTCGGTGAATCAATTGTCGCTGTCGGTGAAATAAGCGGATTCGATAATATTAGAGCCATTTAAACTCAATCGTTAGATTATATGTTACACAGTTTGGTTGAATTTAATTTTTCCTGTATTTCATTAAACTTTAACCTGTTTAATTGAATTTTGCTTGAATTTAGTAAGTCTAATTCATATATAACATACCTAATTTCAAAATCATAACAATACCATGTTTGTTAGTAGCTTAATGTCCCATTCTGCTTTTTTTATTAGCAGATTTAGAGTTTGGTAATTTTTCGTAAATTAATTCATGAAGATAACTACGAAACGTGCTTGTTAATTCGCCACTATGTTTTTCAGAAATTTGGTATAGTGATTGATTCCATTCTTTTAGCATGCGTTTCTTTCTTTTTCTTTTAGTTGCTGCTTTCGGGTGTATATTATAATCATCAAAGTTATCAATATCATCACTGATTTGCATAGGTAATTCGAATGTTATTTCCATATTAAATAGATTGGGTAAATAATGCTTAAATAATGGCGCCAAAATTTCAGCGCTAGTGCATTGAGATAACATATCTAAATGTGATGGTAGATAAAAATTTTCAGCATTGCAATAGAACTTAAAAATGTTACAAATTGCTTGAAACATGTGGTGATTTATTCCGGTTGGTATGTCAACATTGGTCCCTTGCTGCAGTTGTCGATCTAAGCTAACACGTGCTTTTAATATTTCTTCAAAACAAAGTTTTGTAATTTGTGCGTCAGTTCCAAATTTTCGGAGAACCCATATATAGAATTTTGAGGGTAAGCTGTGTTGTTTAATTTCAGAATCGATCATAGAATTTTGATTTTGATTTAAATAGTGA